CTCCCCTGTGTGCCTTGTGTGTGTGTGCGTGCGTGCGTGCGTGCGTGTGTGTGTGTTGGTTAAAATGTTGTGGGCACAAGGAATTGTGGGACAACATTATCTCCTCTCCTTTCTTAAAGGATGGTCCAGTGTTTCATATGGAGATAACAAGGGAAATAATAAAGCTCCTTCCTAACATCTAAATGATTTGAACAGCATTTATCATGGTTGATTCTTCCAGAGTCTTTTCACTCTGTTAGGAACCTTCCTAAGCAAGAAAGACTATTTGACCTTGGACTGCTCAGTATTCAAACAGACAGAAGAGTACATGTGGCAATGTTTGACATGTTTCTGTGTGCACCATAACATATTAATGACGGGCAGCTTCAAACAGCCACGTCAGCCCTCCAACCTTATCATCCTTATTTAGGGCACACAGAAGAAAAGGGTCTGGCAAGAATCGTACTGAGGCCGGAAATAGCCTCCCGCCTGCTGACGGCCAAATTACAGAGAGAAAAAACCCTGCCCTCCGCAAAATAGGGGGAGGCAAAAAAGCCTCTGTTCAGTTCTAAAATTAGTTTCCACTGCCTGTCTGAGGCCAAGTTCATTCTCATTGGTTCAGATGGACAGTTTTTTTCACCACTGAACATAGTGATGTCTCACCTCACACTGCTAGTAATAACGCAGTGTGATCAGAGTTAACCTCCACCCTGCTGCTGTCCTGTCATCCATGCACTGAGACACTTTTGCACCTACATTAGCTAGCAGTTACTAGCAGCTCCTGTTAACACTGTAACCATGGATGACATCTTTAATATGAAATACTTTTACTCAATAACAGGTATACATCTGCAATATATCTGCCATTGTACGGCGCTATTATCACTTTAATGAAGAAAATACTTATTTTTATAAATGTCCCAAGCCCTTTAAGGTCACAATACTTCAATTCTATCTATATCAATTAGGTTACTTAAATTGCTGCTACTCATCTTTGAGCCATGGTTGTGAACTATTTTGTCTTTATTTATATTTTATTACTAATGTGTGCTTTACTTTTTAGATTATTTCATGTCTCTTTTTTTTTTTACCTGCTATTCAACTTTTGCTGTGCAATGTAAACATCCCCGCTGTGGGAATAATAAAGGATTTATGATTCTGATAAATACTCTGTAGAATCTTTGCATATGACAATAAAGCCTTGAATATTGAATCTTTAGCCTCTTGTGGCCAGAATCAGTATTGCATCAAAAGAACACTTTTCACCTGTTTGGAAAGATCGAAAAAACATTTTAGGCAAATTAGAGATATTGTCCTAATGAAACGTTTTTATTAACCTGTCAAATCAACTCAGGACAGAAAATCAGTTGTAATCAGCAGAAGGTTGTATGCCTTTCAGAGCTTCTGTAATTTCAACAGAATAATGAGTAATTGTGTTTTAAGGTGTGGTTGGTCTGTGTGGGTGTATGTGCTATATTTCGTAGTCTGTCTGTATATGCACTCTTTGTATTCTACATTTTAAATGTGTGTGTATGTCTCTGTGTATGTGCACATCTATTCTTTCCATCTATAATGTTTTTCTCTCAGATACGCTGCTTAGAAAATATTGCTTCCTCTTTCTCTCTAGCCAATCCTGAGGACAACACCAACTTTTTGAAGAGTTTGTTGTTTATCAGTCTTACAGAAGAGCTACACTTATATTCATACACATCCAACACACCACTCTGAGTCTGACATGACGCAACCCCTCTGCATTTTATTCACTCCGCTTCCCAGTATTTTTTACTTTTCTTTTTACTAGGGTCAGCAGAGTGCAATCTCGGCACATGTTTCAGAGTTGGTGTGGATTAAACGGACGGGTGCTTTAGCTGACGATGGTGTTGAAGCGCAGTGTGTTTGATGCTGGAGGCTGTGTTGTCTTCTTCAGTCCCAAACCTGCTGCCCAACAGTGGATTGCAGCCATTAGTTAAGGTAATGGGTCAGCAGAGAGAGGGAGATTAGTGTGCCCCTGTGAACCTGCCTTTAAAAAGTGCTGCATGAAGGCATGCATTAATTCCATAAGGAGTGTGTGTACAGGTGCTGCTAACAGCAGGTCATTAGACAGAGCTGTCACCCAGGTATCCCTGGTGGTTACACACACACACACACACACACACACACACACACACACACACACACACACACACACACACACACACACACACACACACACACACATATAGTTTACTCAATATGTCAGCAGCATCAATGGGAAGCACGGAAGGTGATGGGCGCCGGAAAAAAAGGACAAGGAAAAGGAAAAAATATGGTGGAAAACAAGGACAGGAAGTGAAAAAAGAGGACAGCAGGAAGAGGAAATAGGAAACGAGATACCTTCTGAGGAACAGTTCCTGCCACAAGCGCTCTGCAGAAGATAGAACATCTCACGAAAAGACCTGGGACCTTCCAGGCATGAAGCATTGAGGAGAAAGAGGAAAGAGAAGGTGAGACAGGGAGGCAGACAGGCCCGAGGGAGAGGGACAGCAGCAGGAGGAGGAGGAGGAGGAGGAGGAGGAGGAGGAGAAGGAGGAGGAGATGAGGAGACAGACTGAGGAGACAGGACAGAGAAAGATTTAAAGAGGTGAACCTCTATCTATTTAATGCTATGATGAATTATACGGAAAACAACACGGTTAATGTCTTATTAGGGACATTTGGAAAAAATCTGCCACTTCCTTACAGAGCCCCTCCTCCAACACACACGAACGCACACATGACCAATGAGGGCACGAGATAAGTTTGTGCACAGATGGAAGGCTGACAGGCAGGTAGGCCATCCAGTTATTTTAGCCGGGCCGGCTAAAATGATGGGTCGTGCTTGTACTACGGCTTCCACGGATGAAATTTATTTATGAATTTTTTGTCTAAGCACTTTAGATATTCATTGCGGGATGTTAAGAGCATTCCATGGAATATAACAAAAAGTGTATCTCGAGCCGGTTTCTCAAACTTACCTACCCCACCTTTAATCAAAAACGTTATGGACATTAAATGTTCTTTCTTTTTCTCTTAAGACAGAGTGACCTTTGGTAAACACCCTTTATATATCGCAATCAACATGTTTTGGTCTGTTTGCAGTGTTTCCCCCGGGACTGAGTGGCTACGAGCTAAAGGCTAACGTTAGCTTGTTTTACTGATAGCTTCAGATTCATCCGGGCCCGATGAAGCACACCGTTACTTTGATACAAAATATTTCACATTACTCTAGCTTTGAAAAATGTAGGGAAACATTGGTACGAGAGTTATAACACAACTCAACAACAGATATAGTTCTAAGCGGAAATATTACATATTATACGTTGAATTATTTGTTGTATTAATGTACTATATAGATTTTTCTTTGAGCCTGTACATAACACATGCAACAAATGACTGTGACACAGGATCATGATGAAAATATCAGACTTTTTTGATCAATGCATCTATTATCCATATACTCTTGTTCTTCAACGCGCCTTAGAACTGCACTTATATAAGTGTGCATAAGCCTCACATTCACATTCAATTCATTAATATGAATGATTTAATTGAATGTATTTATTATGCATGACTACAAATGTATACATAAATATTTGTTCCATATTAATACTTACAATGTCACTTTGCATATTGCATTGTTGCTTTTGCACACACATTGGAATGATGCAGTCTCTCTCCTGTTGTGAATGGCCTCATTAATACTAGTTAAAGTGAAGGAGTGAGAAGGAGAGAGGGATGGACAGAGACATAATGAGAAAGAGAGAAAAGATCAATGGAGAGCCTGAAGCACGAGCCAGAAGGTATCTCCAGCTGGATACACACCCACCGTCACTGCTCAGTGACAACAAAAGGAAAAACGGATGGTGCATTGTGGGGACTGCAGTCCTAACTGATCATGTGGGCCCAGAGAGCCCTCAGTGCATGCATCAAGGCTGGGGAACTCTGTGCACATATTGACATATAAAGAAACTAATGGAATTATAATCAAAAGTACTAATTATTTTAATTCTTTAATCACTTTTACAACCCAAGAATCGTCACCATACATAATGCGTAAAGAATTGAGCTTAGCGCACTGGGCATGACATAATCTTGTTAAGCGTTTTCAAGTGGGTGAAAGTGAACTTTGACAGATTCAAAGGATTTAAGTACGCCATGTTGGGCATTTCCCCATTTAAAGGGGAATGTCACAGTGGCTTTAAAATGTGTCTGAATGTATCGAGAGCCCGTGCGTTCTCTAAGCAGAGACATTATGAAAGGAACTAAATGAGTCATAGAGTAATATACTTATAAATAAGATGAAATCCCTTAAAGGGAACATCCCTTCAAAATAGATTCAGGACGGCATGAAGATCTTTTTGTTCAGTCCCAATTTCAATCCATATCATGACCGGACAACTGGAGAAGCTGTCACCGTGGCGACTGGGATGGGCAGAGCATAACAGAGATCATGCAGCAAGGCCACAGTATCTGAGCTGCACCTCAAACACAAACCAACACACACCATGCCCTACCTCACACTACACACAGCTCTCCACCGGCTGATAGAGGATCGCCCTCACCTACAGGGGGGTGTTTACCTGTGATGTCAAACCACACGAGGGCGGAGCTCTGCTGCAGGGAGACCACGCCCACAATCTCTGACACCTTGTCATTCTCCATGACAGTGAAATTGTAGAACTGCTCATCGAAGAGCAAGGGGAGCGTGGAGGGGGGGGGTCGCCGGATCCACTCGATGTGCAGGCGAGCCGTGGAGGATCTCTGAGGACGCCCGTTATCTGTCACTTTGACCTGGATAGCAGGAAGAGAGATTGAAGCATTTATTGAAACAACAAATAAAGAAGTATCAACATTTCTAAGAATTAAATGTATTTAACTTCTTTTATTTTACATTTTATTTTTCTATTAATGTCTATTTTATTTAACCTCTATTTGCACACTCTTATTTTAACTTATTGACTTTATATTTATTATATTTCTATTTTATTTGATATTTTTTTGGACATTTTATATTAATGTCTATCTTGTCTATCTAATGTCTATCGTTTTTTCACTTCTTGAGTTCATTTAAAAAAAAGTTTATTTGCTATTTACATTTCTTTTATTCATCAGCAACAGTCACAAAAACCCATTTCCACTGGGATAACTCAAGTATTTTGATTCTAATGATTCTAGTTCTGGAAATGTCTGCTTAGGTGAAATTAGATCATAATCACAATATCGATACTCAGATATTAAGTCAAACTTTTGTTTGTAATGTAGCTGACATTTTCCTAATAACTGCTAAAGGTTGTCGTACAGTCAGGATGTCATAGCTGCCGGCAGTGAAGGCCTTGCGTGAAGACACCACTGCAGTCTTGGGGTCTATGAAGAACTTCCCGTCATCGTTTCCGTCCACGATGCTGTAGGAGAGGTCGCTGTTGGGCCCATCGTCGCGGTCGTAGGCAAACACCCGATAGATGGCCTCGCCCTTCTTTCTGCGCTCTCTCTCTGGGAGTTTCACCTGGTAGACCTTCTCTGGAAACGTGGGCTTGTTGTCGTTTTCATCCAGAACCTGAACCATCACCCACACTGTGCTCTGCCTGGCTCCTGGACCCCCGTCTGACACCAACACCTGCAGGGGAAGTGACAGATTCAATACAAATACACACGCAGAACATGTGTTTCAATCATAGACTGTATATATAAATGGATGTCGTGTCCGCGACGTCACCCATAGGATTCTGCAGAGTTGCCGAGAAGCCCTTAGTAGGCGGAGTCGGCCACTAACGGCTTTACAGCGACGTCAGAGTCTAATCCCGCCTGCTCCAAATAAGGGCAAAAAGGCGGAGCCGAGGCGGGACCTGCTGCCTCCGAACTGGAAGTAAACAGAGCTAGCTCAGGCTAAGAAGCTAAGCTAACATGAAATACGTGCATACCAAGTTACTGCTAACAGTGTAGTTCCCCTATATAAACGTTACATTCATAATCAAATGAGACAATCTGCAAGAGAATTAGCTATGTTTTGTTATTCTTAATGCTTGTCATTCACACGTTAAGAAGAGACGGACTCCACCGCCCGGCCCCGGACCTAACGGAGCCGCAGTGGGCTAGCTAGACCACCACTGGGATAATTGGGTCCCCTATTAACATTTGCTCCCGTTTAGCATTATGGTCGTCATAGCCATAGACTATGAAAGTCTTACCCAAGGCTGAATCATAAACTAAAATGTATATAGTATAAAGGCTTACGTCCTAAGCTGGCTAATAAGTAACAAGCTAAGCTACCAAGCACACAAACACCTGCGAACGGGACATGTATAATATTATCATTTTAGACTTATTGGAAGTTCTGTTAGTACATTCAAGCGCACAGCACAACATTTTAATTGTCTGGAATTTGTAACAATATTCCCTAAAAGGCACAATCACCACGAACACGGCTAAAGCTAAAGGGTCAAGTACAGTAACTACAACTAACTAACGTTGTAGCCTCTTTGGTTGTAGCCTAGCAGAGTGGACAAGTTGCTGTTAGCTGACAGTGAGGCATGTACATGTCCATCAAAGTGACCACGCCCTAATTTATGCAAAAGCTTTAAGGCTTAATATTAATTAAACAGATGACTTGAGAAAAAATTCACCCCCCCCAATCCATATTCATGAAGGGGGGATCTAACTATACAGAGAATATGTTTTTTTGAACCACGATGTAAACATGTTTAATTCTGCTCTAAAGTTGGGCATTTTAACATTGGGGTCTATGGAAATTGCTCCCTTCTGCAGACTGCTCCTACTGGCCACTAGATGAACTGCAGTTTGAGGCACTTCCGCATTGGCGTCCCGGTTCTTCCCCAGAGTTTGCCGCTTGGTTTCAATTCAGGGATATGAAGACGTGAACGTGGAGGCACCGAAGGCCTCTGAAAGACTAAACCAACAGAGGACTTATACCTCATTCACACCAACGCAACTCCGGTTCAAGCTCCGTGCTAGAGCTTTTCAGGTTCAGAACCGGTTCTTCGGTTTAGCTCCGGCTCGGCGGCTCTTTTCACACCTGCC